TGGTGGAGATGTGTGTCTTCTCTCAGACAGGACTCCCAGGCCATGACCGTTCCCCTCCTGCTCAAATGGGGCTCCCAAGACAGGATTGGTCTCCCCTTGTCGGACAGAACCCTCCCCAGACTTCAGGGTGTCTCCACCCTTGGGCGGAATTCCTGGGTGCAGCCTGCCTCCTCCCACCCAGGGGGACCCCCACTGGGGCAGGGCTCCTCACGGCAGACACTTGGCACTCCCCCCAGACATTTTGCATCCCTCCAGGTGAGCGAGGTGGAACCAGTGAGGCCCGAGGGTGAGCTGTGGCGCATCCGGGCCCAGGCAGGTCTCAGCGTGGTGGCCATCATAGCAGTGGACATCTTCTTTCACTTCTTCTACATCCTCACCATCCCCAATGACCTCAAGTTTGCCAATCGCCTCCCAGACAGCGCCCTCGGTGGGTCCCCACATCACCAAGGGTGCAGGAACGGGGACTTATTCTTTGAAATGCCTGGGACTTGACCTTAGCTTTGTCCTATGAGGCTGGAGCAGTATCTCCAACAGCCTGCCCTTCATCAGGGCTGTGATTGATTTTCACAAGTGGAGATGGGGGTCCCCATGGGGAATGTGGGGCCTGGTGCTCCCCCAGGAAGAGGCAAATTCTCCTTGTGGGCTGCAGGTGGCAAGGACTTCCCCTCTCCCCCAACCTTTGGAGAGAAGTGTCCAGGGGGAAGGCAGGGCTCAGCACCTCCCCTGGGACTTGAGGGTCATCAAGGGAGGCCAAGGTGATGATGGGCCCTGGGTAGTGATAGCACCTTGTCCCCAGCTGGCCTAGCCTATTCAAACCTGGTGTATGACTGGGTGAAGGCTGCAGTCCTCTTTGGTGTCGTCAACACCGTGGCGCGCCTGGACCACCTGGACCCGCCTCAGCCTCCTAAGTGCATCACTGCGCTCTATGTCTTTGGGGAAACGTGAGTACAAGCAGTGGAGGGGGTCGCAACCTTGGATGCCCACCGCCCCTGAGCCTCTTCCCATCCTACCATGTCCCTTCCCGCTGTGCCATGGGAGCTCTGTGTCAGGTGGACTCACACCCTTCTGCTCTTTCCACACAGACACTTTGACCGGGGCATCAATGACTGGCTTTGCAAGTGAGTTGGGGCGAGGGGGTGGCCACAGCTATAGTGCCACATGTCTGGGCAGTGCAAGATTTACCCATAGTTTTAGAGATCACCCCTAGGCCAGGGAAAGCAAGGAGACAGTAGGTCTGTCTTAGACGAGTGAGGTCTAGGTGAGAGACAGGTTTGGACTTGGCTGAGGGCCCTGGAAGTGGAGAGAAGGGGCTGGCATTCAGTACAGGCATCCAAAAGAAGGATATGACTTCTGGGCCCCTATATTCAGCCTGGAAGAATGGGGTGACTTCTAGAGAGAGGTTCTATTTGAGAAAAATCTAGATGGAATCTGGGGGAGGGGCACCATTAGGGAGATCCAGGGAAGTGCCTGGATCTGAGGGCCAGGGACTCAGAGAAGTCAGGAGGACTGGTGGGACTGTGGGTGTCATGAGGGATGGTAGTTGTGCTGCAGCTTCGGGAGTGCATAAAACATGGGGTACAGGTCGAGGAGAGTTGGGGTCAGCCAATATTGGTCCCGCAAGGACTTTGGTTGGAGGGAGAAGGAAGAGCCAGGAGAAGGAACTGAGGAGCAGGAGAGGAATCAAGGCCATGTGACACCCTGGAAGCTTGGAAAGACCATCTAGGCGTGGAGGGGGCCACGGGGCCAGGTGTTGCTGAGGTTCAAGGGAGCTGAAGGCTGAGGATTAGCATTGGTGACATGGAGCTTTTCAGCCTTCCCCTGGGGAGGCAGGGGCAATGAAATGGAATCGAGGAACTGTGGGGGAGTGTGTGACAACTTCTGGGAGAAGCCTGGGACTGAAGGAGTAAGACAGAGGGGTAACCAAAGGGAGTTGTGGGGTGTTTTAAAGGTAGGAGGTACTGGGACACCCCTGGTGCTGAGGGGAACTATTCAACAGAAGAGCTGGTAAATGCAGGATGGAGGGGCAATTGGTGGACTGAGGTCCTGAGGAGGGAGGAGGTGATGTGTCCACTCTCAGGCAGAGGCCCACCTTCAGGAGGAAGAAGAGAAGCCACTATAAGCTGAGGAGGCAGCATATAGGCCCTCCTTCCCGAGTGCCCACCACACCCTCTCATACTTGCAGGAGAAAGAGGGGTGCAGTAGCCATTGCAATGTGGGAGAAGCACCTGCCTATAGAGAGCTGGGCTCCGAGAGGCCAGGTGGGGTTGGAGGTAGTGGGTTTCAGCCTCCAACGTGTGAAGACGTGAGGCTTTCCCATCAGGGCTTAGCTGCGGGGGTGCGGGTCAAGAGAAAGCTGGTAATCGGCTCTCCCAGATGGTCAAGAAGGAAGAATTGAAAAATAAGGGGCTTAAGGTTATTTATAATGATGACTCATTTGAGCATAAGCCTGTTAAAGAGGGTGGTAAAGATGGGAGGGATCAGTGGGATTGAAGAACGAGCTGGGGAGCCAAGTGTCAGAAGGGGTTGGGCAAAAAGTGAGAATTAACAAGGAGTGAAATTTCAAAGGGTGACAGAGTTGGGGTCTGACCATGGGAATGGGTGGCTGAGGTGCCGTGGAGAAGAAACCAATGGAAATGAGGAGGTCAAGGAATGGAGAGGCAGCTTAGTCAATGAGTCTTCCACTGAATTTATTTAACAAATATTTATTGAGCACCTACTGTGTGCCAAGCACTGTTCTAGGCACTGGGGATACAAGCAGTGAATATGGCAAAGACCCTGAAATCATGGAGCTTACAGTCTAGTGGGGGAGAAAAACAGGTAAACCATAAACAGGCAAACAAACATCAATAAGATAATTTTAGAGAGTGGTTAAGTGTAAGGGGATAGAATTTGGTTACAGGGTAGAAGCTTCTTTAGCTGGGGTCTGGGCGGCCTTCTGTGAGGAGGTATTTGACTTGAGTGATAAGGAGATGTGTGGGGTGGAGGAGGGTGATGGAATTCCCGGAGGTCATGGGGGCGTGGTTTAACCATGGAAATGATGTGATCTGAGCTAAGCCTCTGGCTGCTGTGTGAAGAAGGGGCTGGGGGACGGCGGACAAAGGCCAAAGTAGGAAGGTCATTAAGTGGTCTAGTCCACCTGGACTCGAGTGGGAGGAGGGTAGAAGCTGTGAGCAGTGGTCAGGACTGACCGGAGTCAATAGAATTTGCTGGTTTGGATGTGAGTGAAGAGGGAAACTGAGAAGGCAAAATGGTACCAGGGCTTATAGCAACTGAAGGGATGATGGAGATGGGGATGGAGCTGGTTTGGGCAGAGAGGGGGAAATCAGTCATTCAAGTGAGATGTCTAGAAGCAATTGGAGACACAAATCAAAGAGAGACTGGGATAAACAAGCAGTGTTCAAAGTCTTGAGTCTGAATGAGATCTTTGGAGGAGTGAATGAACACAGCTAGAGAAGACACAAAGTCCAAGGCTGAGCCCTCTGCAATTTGGATTTGGGCAGAGGAAAAGCAGTCACCTAAGTCCAAAACATTGTCTTGTCCTCAGGGTGACAGCAGGAGGAGGGCTGCCCCTGTTGTGCATCCTCTGCTGGCCTCACATCTGTCCTTTCCCACCCTCCCACGGGCCTCTGCTTTCATCTTTCCCACAGATATGTGTATGACCACCTTGGTGGGGAACACTCTGCAGTGATCCCAGAGCTGGTGGCCTCAGTGGCCACATTTGCCATCACCACTCTGTGGCTTGGGCCTTGTGACATTGTCTACTTGTGGTCATTCCTTAACTGCTTTGGCCTCAACTTTGAGCTGTGGGTACAGAAGCTGGCAGAGCACGGGCCTCTTGCACAAGTTGAGGTAAGCAGGGGAGTGGGACTAGGATGGGCTGAGATTGGTAGGGTCACCCACAGGACAGGGTGGCACTGCTGTTTTCTGGAGGAGTCCAGACACACTTGATCTCCAGCCTAGAACTTTCTCACCACCGCCTTCCAGATTGTCAGGGCAATGGCTTGTCCTGTGGGAATCTGTCCCTTTCTTCCTACTGTGGATCAGGCCCAATACACGGAGGCCTGGCCTTGTTTGCCAGTTCTTATCCTCTCCCCAGGACTCAGTTTCCCCATGCTTAATAATGACGAAGAATTGGCCTGGGATTCCCAGACACCCATGAATATCCCCAGGACAAGTGGCCCTGTAGGCCAGGCCGTTGACCAACCATGTCCTCTTTCCTTTGGGCCTCTCACCTTGCTGCCAATGCTCTCCTGAACTGGGCAGGCCCGTCTGTCAGAGCAGATGTCCCGTAGGGTCCGGGCTCTTTGTGGGGCCATAAACTTCTGGGCCATCATCATGTACAACCTTGTGAGCCTGAACAGCTTCGAGTTCACAGAACTGGTCGCCCGACGTCTGCTACTTACAGGTGAGAGATGGGTTTGGGATATATCAATCTCAAGGACTGTGACCTTCTGAAATGCTCCTTCCATACCCCAATACCCCAGGGACTTGGCAAAGAGGGCCATCCAATGGGGAGAGGGATGGGAAGAGAAAAGTCATTGCGGATGGGCTGCTGTGGGCACTGATGACTCCTTCCCCAACAGGGTTCCCCCAGACCACGCTGGCCATCCTGTTTGTTACCTACTGTGGTGTCCAGCTGGTGAAGGAACGTGAGCGAACCCTGGCACTGGAGGAGGAGCAGAGGCAGGACAAAGAGAAGCTAGAGTAGGTGGGAGGGGGCTCCTGGGTCCCAGGCCCAGGCGGGGCCAGACAGGGCCTCATTGACAGAATAAAAGACTTTTCTACCACAGTTGGACTGTTCCCTTCCCCTTGTTCCCAGCAATCTCTTGGCTCCTTGTCCAACATGGCTGAAGAGCTGGAGTTTCCAGGTCTCAGGGAGGGGGTCCCACACAGTGTGAAAGGGACAGCACATGAGGAGAAGACCTCCCATCTTGACAACCCAAAAGCAGAATATTAAGGTCCGAAATTTCAAACCACCTGATGATTGACTCTTGGAGAACCTGATTTCAGACCCTGAACTACTCGCTTAGAAGGTATTTTATTCTTCTTGAAGAAGGAGACGTACCCACACTGCAAGCTGCACTTGATGGGGACACTCCCATCAGATGGGCAAGTGGACCGTGTCCTGTGGGAAACTTTACCTGCACACATGGCCAGACTGGGGGCATGGCCAGGACACAGCCTTGGATACCCCCCTGTGATAATGGCTTATGAGCCAAGAGGACCCAGGGGAAATATGATAACCCTGGGGGGCCCTGAGTTTCTCATCCCTGCCTGAAAGGCTAACACTGGGCAGAAATAGCCCTTCTCTGGCTGAAGCAGCCCCTCGGGCACCATAACCGGATCCAGGTGGGCTCTTGCCTCTCCCAGCCTCCTCCCTAGAACCCCACAAGGTCAGGACTGTGAGGGCTGTGGGATGGGAGGGGTTCTTAGTAGGTCCCTCTAGGCTGGTCACATCTTAGTCAGGCGCAGCACGTTGAGCCGCACAGGCAGGAAGGTGGCGCCGGCTGCATAGGCGATCTCCCGCAGGACGCCCTCCCACTTCTTCTCCTCCTCGTTATATCTGGGGTGGGGGGAAAGAGTGGGGACAAGGGTGAAGAGCTTCATCAGCTGAGTCCAAAATGGGACCCAGCAGGGAGGGTTGGCTGGGTACACTACACCCATCTCCAGGAAGTGTACCCCAGCCCAGCTCTATCTCTAGATACCTGGAAATTCCCATGCTCTTGGAAGGGGGCCTCCCAAAGAGTCACCACCAAGAAAATCCACCCCATAATCCAGAGCTACCTCCTCAGGAAAGGCCACCTCTCCAGGGTTCCCACACTCCTCAAAATCCACCTCCCTCCAGAAAGATCTACACTGGCCCCCTACACACACACCAACCCTGTCCTCCCGAGAGTTCCGTATTCAACATTCCAGAAGTCCCTCACACCCACTCCCCTAGCAGCCCTACTCCTCCAGAGGCCACTTGCAGCACCAGGGTGACTGAAGGTTCAGGTATGCCCCAGGTGGCTGAGCCTCTTCCACCTACCCCCATGAAGGACCAGCCGTGGGAAGCAATGGCTGAGAGGCTGGGGTCCAACTATTTCCTAGTCTTGGCCTCCCTCTCCTCTAGACCAAGCACCCAGAAAATGGGGGTGAGAGGCCTGGCTGCTACCTGGGCCCTGTGTCTGTGGGTCTGTACCCTAAGCTGAGAGTCAGCTCCCATCTGCAGCACTGCTGGAGCTCTTCAGTGGGGCAGGTACCACATGTGCAAACCTAGACCCACTGGTGAGAAATGGGGCAAGTGGGGTGTGTTTGTTATTCCTTCCCCCCAAGATTCCCTGGAAGAGGGATCAGCTTTGCCCACACATGAGCTTACCAGGCTGTGGGGGAAATCAGCCTAGCTCAGAATTCCCCCTTGATTCCTTGGGGCCAGGCTCACCTCCAAATGTCGTTGAGCTCTGTGGGGACCAATTCTCCAGACTCAGTCTCCAGTGTGGCGAAGCCACCAATGGCATAGAGGGTGCCCACCAGGCTAATCAGGCTGAGTGAGCTGCGCTCCTGTGGAAAGGCCTCGAAGGGTGCCCACCTGTGGCAGTGGGGTGAGAAGGTGCATCACCTAGGGGGCCTGTCCCTGCTATCCGGGTGCTCCCAACTCCAGCTGCACCCTTTGAAATCTGAGTCCTAGCCTCTCACACTCCCAGGGCAGCTTCCTGTTTCCCGACTTTCTTGGGTGCCTGCCTGGTGCCCCTGCCTGGGCCTCAGCTCATCCTGACCCTGTTCTCCCGGCCCCTCCGGTTTCACCTCCTCCCCCATTCTCTTGCTCCTCCCTTTTCCCTTCCTTGCCCCCTTGTCATTTATCCAACTGGCCCAGCAAAGTCTCCCATGGATCTCCCATGTCCCTCTTCTCTCCTGAACTAACTTCTGGCTGCTAACTCAGGATCCCAGCCCCCGGCAGGCCCCCAGAACTTCCCTGGACACATTCCCCTGGCTCCTCAGTGGCCATTTAAGCCCCTGTTCCCTTGCACTCCTGTCTCCTCTCACAGCCTAACTCTTCTCACTCCTGGCTCCTGCAGCTGGGCCTTCATTCCCACCCTCCAAAAACCCCATCCACCCCAGGGCTGTAAAATCCAGGGCCCACGGCCTGCCACTACAGAGGTGACTGTCCTCACCTCCTGCCTCTCCAGGGTCAGCTTCTCTTACTCTTCCTGGATAATGCATCTCTCCCATCATTCCTTGGGGCTTGGACCTCTGCTCCTGCCATGGGCACCCCCTCTCCTTATGAAGTTTGTCCCCTCTGTACTCTTGGGCCCTCAATCTCTCCCTCTACCTCAGCCCTCTCTCTGGCCCTGTAGGCTCCTCCTGGACAGCCTCAGGCAGGCATCTCAAGTCCACATGTCCTGTCTGGACCTTCACTCTTGCCATCTAAACCCCAATGTTTCCCCAACAAATGGCCTCCCATTCTCACTCAAAAGCATCCACTTCTTTCTTGCCCCAACATCCAGATCATCACTATGCCCTCCTTCTTTCATCTCCTAAACCCTTGCTACTCAGAGGGTGGTCCCTAGGCCTGCAGCACCAACATTACCAGGGTATCCTTAGAAATACAAGCCCCTCCCCATATCTGAAATCCAGAATCTGCATATTAATATGACACTAGGGAGATTTCTGGTATTACAGCCAGAGAGGCCCTGGCCTATGTCCTCCAGTGGCTCCTCCCCACTGCACCCCAGTTCCAGGCTCCAGGCTTCCATCACCTCTTGCTACAGCTGCACCCCTGACCCTCGCCCCCTTGCCTCCTAGAAAATCCCTGATCTGCTCTCTACATCAGCTGCCCCAGGCATGTTAGAAAAACAGGTGGAGTTTAAAACCCATCAAAGGCATTTCATTAGTGTCAGAATAAAGTGTCTCAGCCCTTCTGGTCACCTACCCAGCCCCAGAACTGGCTTCTCCCACTATTGCTGGCTGAGCCCAGCTGGAGGTCAGCTCCATTTTTTCTTTCCTGACATCCCAGAAGGGCAGCTCCTGTCTCCCTCACTGGTCTTTCACTAGCACAAGGCCATTGCCTGGTAGGAGTCTCTGAGTGAGGAACCTGGTATCCCTTGTCTCCTCCACCTGGGAGCTCCCTCCTGCAGACCCTGCCGCCCATAACCCTGCCCTACCTCATGGGGAAGCCCCCTCCCCACCTATCTGCTGATCAGAGAGGGACTACTGTGGGGATGTTCCAAATCAACAGCAGGGACCCAAGACAGGGGCTATGACTCCTGCCAGGGCAGACACAGGGAGGACTGTCACAGGCCCAAAGCCACATACTTGTCATCTGCGATGCCGTACACCTCTGCGGAACTGGTCAGTCCTGTGTCGGTGACCCCCGCTGCCACAAAAATCCGGCCATCGTGGACGGTGGCCCCAAAGAGCGAGCGGGCAGTCTGCATGGGTGCCAGTTCCTTCCACTCGAATTTCTTGGGGTCATAGACGCACATCTTGTTCAGGCACTTCCTGTGGGGTGGATGGATGAGTGCGTAGAGGGAGGCCTGAATAGAGACCCACCCCCCCCCACCCCCGCCCTTGGCCGCCTCCCAGGACAGTGGGGACAAACCTCCAGCCTCAGGAGAATTCTGCTTTCGCTGGAACCTACAACTCTGCTGAAGCAGACATGCTCGGGGACCCAGCCTCACCTGTCGCTGCCTTTGCCACCAATGACGTAGACGAGGTCCATATAGGAGAGAACAGCGTGGCCATACACTGCGTATGGCAGAGGGTCCGATTCGCCCCATTTGAAGGACCTAGAGCAGACGCAAGGGGCGGGTGCCCGACTCAAGGGTGCGCCCAATCCCGGCCTTTGGTTCACCCTCCCACCCAACACTCACTCGGGGTGCACCCAAAGCATTCCAGGAACTCCCCTTGGGCCCCACCCACCTACGCCCCTGCCCGGGACTCGCCTGCCCCTCCCAGCGGTCAGCGACTGTATGGGACTCCGGGCTCCCACCTCGATCCACAGCCCCTCCCCAGGACCCGGCCCGCCCCAGCCCACGCTCACAGCCGGTCGTAGCACAGGACCGAGTCCAGGCTGCTCTCCCCATCCTTGAGCTCTCGGCCGCCGACCACGTAGATGGAGTTAAGAGCCTCTCCCAGACCAAAGAGGCAGCGCGGAGACGGCAGCGGCGGCATGCCCAGCCACTCCGAGTCCAGGTGGTCAAACTGTGGGCGGGGCGTCCAGTCAACCACCGCCCACCCCGCTCCCGCCCCCAGCCCAGCCCAGCCCAGGCCAGCCACCTCCGGTCAGAAAGGAGTAGGGACTCTCTGCGGGCCAACGCAGTCTGGAGGCGGCCCTGGAGGCGGTGCCCCTCTGCCATCCCATCATTGGGCAGAGAGCAGCCGAGAAGTAGCACCATAATGGGGCACCAGGGCACAGAACTGAGGAGAAAGGTCCCACAGTGATCTTGGCCCTTCCTTAGTGCCATTTCCTCTTCGAGGCCTGCCTGCCCTCTGCTCTGGAAACTTCAAAGTAACCCTACCTCCTTAAAATCTACAGTCTTCAGCCCTGTCGACCTCCATATTCTTACAATAAAGATACTAGTGGCTCATCTTATTGGAACGTTTTCTGAGAGCTGAGGGCTGTGCTGATGAGCACTTTCATTAGCATCGTTAACCTTCAAACAACCTTATCAAGCAGGAAGAATAATTCCTATTGACAAACAGAGGCTCAGTGAAAATAAACAGTGACTTCACTGCTGGCCTGGCTGGTGGAGCTGCCCCTCACACCCATGATTAGGGCTCAATCTAAGCCAGTGAGCTTAACCTTGGCACCAGGCTTCCCTCACCCCCTTAGCTTTCTATATCCTGGTCCTGTCTCTGTCCCTTGCTCACCGTTCTGTGATCAGGAATACTGCCACCTTCCCCTTTCCATCTCCAAATTCCACCCAACTAGAAAGGCTCAAACCTATACTGCTAGTCTCCAGGAAATTCTTTCTGCCCCCTGAGATTCCAGAGTCACAACCTCCCAACTTGGACTAAGCATTCCATGTCCTGATACTTCCTCAGTCTCAGTTTCCTCATTTGTACCATGAGAGGATTAGGCAGGATGGTCAATCTAGGACACTATGTGTTTCATACTCCAAGTCCTGTCCCACGACTTGCAAATGCTCATGCAAATGCTCCTCCTACACTGGCCTTGCTCCTCCTAGTCACTGTGCCTGAACCCAACCCCTGTGCAGGGCTAGAACACCCAACATGCTCCAATCTGGACCTAACATCCATCTGGAACCGAGATACCAAAGTTGTGCAGCTGCCTATAACTATCTTCAACTTTCAGGCAAGTGGATGTCAACAAACATCCCTGGTCTACTATCTCACTCTAGATGTAGTAAAATGCCCTCAAGTAGACACAGACCTCTCCTGGGCCCCAAAACTGCCCCTCAGTGCCCAGAACCCAGCACTAGCTGGTCCCTCCCAAGATCAGCCAGGCACCTGCAGGAAGTAAGCACTCATGGGGTCCTCTTTGTTGTCCTCGTTGTAGAAGAGGCCCCCAGCCACAAAGATCTGGTTCTCCTTGGTGACCAAGCTGACATGGTTCTTGGGGATCTGGGTGGAGAGAGAGGCACAGTAGCACTCGTTGGCTGCTGGATCATAGGCCACTGCACCCTCCTCACTGATCATGAAAATGAGGTCCTGCAGGAACATGCCAAAGCGGAGTGTGTCATTGAGAATCCCAGGCAGGACACGTTCATCCTCTTCATCCTCCCCTGTCTTGGCTTCATTTGAGCCCTTGTCAGCCTCCTTGGTCCCAGCAGTCTCCTTCCCCTTGTCTTTCTTCTTCTTGCGCAGCATGGTGATGCGGCCTTCGTGTGCATCCTTCACCATCTGTACCTTGCGAAGCAATTCCGGCTGGGCACGCACGAGAGGGTGGCGCTCCACGCGGCTCTCCAAGAAGGCGCGAGGCAGCAGGCGGCAGCGCACGCTCTCGAAAACCGTGGGCAGCGCGCGCTGGCGCTCTGCTTGCGCCTCGGCGTCACCGCTGCCAGCCCACCGCATCACCGCCTCGAACACCTCCTCCTCCTTCTCCACATTGAGGCCGTCGCTGGAAATGATGGCTATGAGCTCATCGGCCGAAAGCCCAAGGAAATCGGCGTCGCGCGCCACCAGCGTGAAGCGCGAGCAGATGAAGTCTCGGGCAGCCACCGCCAGGCGGGCACAGTCGAGTAGTAGGCCGAGACGGAAGACGGCCAGGCAGTTGGCTAGGCACAGGCGCTTCTGCAGGAAGGACACACAGATGGTGAAGATGGACGGGATCTGGAAGCGGTGCGCTGCGGCGAACAGATCCTGCACGCTTGCCTCATCCAGCGCGATCTCTGACGTGTACAGGTAGTTCAGCACCTGAGCCACCACGTCTGGGGACACATCCTCCAGGCGCAGTTCGCCAGCGGTCTCTGGTTCAGCCAGGAAGCGCGCCCGGAAGTAAGGACTGCAGGCGGCCAGCACCAGGCGGTGGCATGGGAACTCGCGCTCGCCCGCCCGCACCACACAGTCCAGGAACTTGCCGTGGTCCAGCATGTCCTTGAGTCCATCCTGCAGGAGCGTCTGCTGGTACAGCCGCTGTTCCTCCGCTTGTTCCAAGCCCAGAGTCATGGTGGGGGCCCTTAATGCCAAGTGTTCCTCTCTGCACCCCTGATTTTCTGCTGGGCAGCCCTCAGACTGCGCAGCTGTCCTCACAGGGCTATATATAAAGGTGGCCCTGGCTTGTAAGATGAGCTGCTGGGCCTCCTGCACATGACGCACAGGAGACAGCTGGACAGAGGCCCCTCCTGGAACAGCCTTGACTCAGCCCTGGGGGCTCATGGGGCAAGGGTGAGGTGTTTGGAGAAGCCTTGACTCAACCCTGGGGGCTCATGGGGCAAGGGTGAGGTGTTTGGAGAAGCCTTGACTCAACCCTGGGGGCTCATGCTGCAAAGGTGGGTGTTTGGGCTTTCTTGGAAAGATGTAGGCCTTCCTGCCTCATTTCCAAAAAATGCACATCCAGACCTTGACTCTGGATTTCTTGGTCTGGAGATTCCTCAAGGAAAGAGGGTGGTTCAAGCTGTGACTCTGGGAGAATGGGGAAGCACGAGAGCCTCTCTTTAAGGGTCTCCTTTTCTTCTTGCCTTTGGGGCCTGGGCACTCTCTGTACTTCCACCTCCCTCTCTGGAGCATATCTAACTCTGGAAAACCCTGGACCCAACGTGTTTTCTGCTCCAAGAACCTGGGTGTGGAATTTCACCTATAAAATGGGAAGACCTTTTCCTTTTTTCTTCCCCAACTCTGAGATCCTCCTGCTTTGAAGATAGCCACCATTTTCCTGTGGAGCTAGGGACAGGATGGATTTCTCTGTTAAGCGTTTGTTTTCCCTCCCATACAAGGAGAAGATAGAGAATTAGACTCTAAGGGTCTCAGTCCAGTTTGATGAGGGTTGGAAGCACCGAGGTCCTGTGTTCCTTGGGGTGCACAGATGGTTTTTAGCATTCTAAGTGGTCAGGCATGCTAGAAAAATTTCTCCCTAGGATCTACTATTCTAGGTGTTTAGACATAGGGGTTTGACATTCTAGGGGAGTGCCATTGTGAATTCTATTGTCAAAAGAGTAATGCCTAAATCTTTAATATTCCAGGAGTTTGGCTGTTGGGCTCATTTTCCTTGGTCCCTACTAGGCTTGTCCTTTCCTGCCCCCACTTGTGCTCCAAGGCATCAGTGTTGAGACCCAGGACAGTCAGCCTCAATGCCCACCCTACTCCTGATCATCCTTTCCCCCCACAGCACAAGCGCACATGCGCATACACACACACACACACACACACACACACACACACACACCACCAAGATTAACTTGTTCCCAAATTGCCGGAGGCTGCAGCTGTAGGTTAAATTTAGCCTCAGGACACTGGTATGAACTGTTATGGGGCACTCCCCCATCATTCCTCTGAGTCATTTGTTTATAACCTTGTGCTTTGGCAGGGGGATAGGAGAGAGGACCTCAGGCTGGGCCAGGATTGAGTCACCTCCCCTTTTGTGATCTCTGAAATGCCACTGCCTGTCCCTTCTGAGCAGTGCATCTGACCATCACTCACATCACCAGCAGGTCCCAGAGGGGATCCTTTCTACCTTGTTAAAAGTGCAAGGGTTCACTCAGGGAGGACCTGTGGTGAGCCCCCAACCCAGCCTTGGACTGAAAAGCCTTTCTAGCAAGCACTGTCAATGAGGAGACTAGGCCTTAAAGGCTCAGCATTTTAGCCAAGTCACACAATGACCACATGACTGACTCAGGATCTAAAGCAGATCTGCCCACCTCTGAAGGCTGGGGGAATCCTTTTCTACAGTGCTGCTTCCCAAGATTAACAAAAATCTCCAGTAATCATGACCTTATTTTCTTCTTATATATATCCAAGATCAAAGGTACTGACTAAAGAATTCACTTATACTTATCAAATGACTTAATGAGGTATTTTTAGAGAATGATGAATCCCATAGTGCTCACTCCCTAGGAGGCGTTCCACTAGAATATTTATACGTGACTTGCACATTCATTCTTCGAGAACCTACTGTGCACGGTTCTAAATGCTGAGGACTGAGCAGTGAATGAATTGGGCAGGAATTTCTGTCTTTATGGAACTTGCATTTGTTGGGAGTGGATCTTAAGAGGGGACAGCAACACATAAAAAAAATGATATAGGACTTTGGATGATGAAGACGGCTGTGGAGACAAGTGATGAAGAGAAGGGAACGTGGGGAGCAATAGATTGAAGTAGTAGAAATTTACATGGAGGACTCGAGGTGGACTCCCTGAAAGGACTCCATTTGGTTAGGTTCAAACCATAGAGGTTTCTAGGCAGGGAAAGCAACATCCTGAGGCAGGAGAGGCACCTGGTGTTTTCCAGGAAGCCAGTGGGGTTGCAGCGGTGAATGAGGAGAGAGGTAGGAGGAGATTGGGGAAGAGGTGAGGGTGGAGACGTCAGGTAGGGCTGTTATGGTTTGGATGTGAGGTGTCACCCAGAAGCTCACATGTGAGACAGTGAAAGGTTTGGAAGAGAAAAGATTATGTTAAACCGTAACCTAACCAGTAAATTAATCCCTGATGGGATTAACTGGGTGGTGACTGGAAGCTGGTGGGATGTGGCTAGACGAAGTAGTTCATGGGGGTGTGGCTATGAGGTATATATTTTGTATCTGGAGTGTGGAGTCTCTGTCTCTCTGCTTCTGATCATCATGTGAGCCATTTCCCTCAACCATAGTCTTCTGCCATGATGTTCTGCCTCACCTCAAACCCAGAGGAATGGAGCCAGCCTTCAGTGGACTAAGATCCCTGAAACTGTGAGCCCTCAAATAAACTTTTTCTCCTCTAAAATTATTCTGGTTGGGCCAGGCACGATGGCACATGCCTGTAATCCCAGCAGCTCAGGAGAGTGAGGCAGGAGGATCTCAAGTTTAAAGCCAGCCTCAGCAAAAGCAAGGGACTAAGCAACTCAGTGAGACCCTGTCTCTAAATAAAATACAAAATAGGGCTGGGATTGTGGCTTAGTGGCCAAGTGCCCCTGTGTTCAATCCTCGGCAGCCCCCCCCACACACACCAAATTGTTCTGGTGGGGGCTTTTAGTCACAGCAGCAAAAAATCTGACTAAAACAAGGGCCATGTGGGCCACTGTGAGGACTTTGGGTTTTTTTCTCTGAATGAAATGGAGATCCACTGTTTATTTTAGATTATAATCATAGAAAATGCAGAAACATATCTTGTGTACCTGTCACCCTGCTTCAGCAACTATCAAGTCATTGCTTGATATGTCCTTATATGTCCTCCTAAAGATTATGTTGGAGGCTTAGTCCTCAGTGTGGTGGTGGACTTTAAGAGGTGGAGCAGGGTGTAAATCATGGGTGGTAATGAGATCTGACCTTAGAGATTTTTGGGGAGGTGGGTTGCAAATAAATCCTTGGTTTCTTTTTTTGGTTTTTTTTTCCCCCCTGCAGTAGTAAGGGTTGAACCCAGGGCCTCACACACATTAGGTGAGTGCTCTACCACAGAGCTACAACCCCAGCCCCTCCCCTTTTATAATTTTATTTTCTGATTTCAAGACAGGGTCTCACTAAGTTGCCCTGGCCGGGCTCAAGCTCACCATCCTCCTTTCATGGACGTAATGCCTTACTCATTTTCATGGAACCTACTCAACACTGCTTCTGACCTACACTCTCATTTGATAGAAGTGAAGCAAGTCTCCCAGTTAATGATGACATATTAAATTCACACATTTCTTTTGCTTCTTCCTGGAACTTTACTAGAATTAAAGTAGAGGAATCAAAAGAAAAAAAAATACATAATGGGAACTCCCAGGACTTACTAACCAGCAACACACCATGGACTGTGGAAAGTGGGCAATTTGTGAAGAGCAGCTTACCACCTGAGAGAGCAATGGAAACTCAGGTGCAGCCCCTACTTCATTAGAACCCCCAGAACAGATCCAGAGTTGGCAGCGCCAGAGCCTGAAAGTAATGAAGGCTGAAAATAGGAGGATTGGTTTTAAGATATGTTAAGAAGCAGTGAGACACAACACACACCAAAGCACCTGGGCAGAGCTAAAGGTTTCATTTCTAGAGAAGACAAACTAGAGAGCTCTTGACAGACACCCAGGAGGGCTGGTGGTGGCCGTGTCATGTGAAAACAGGGTGATCACGAGTGAAAGGTGAGTGACTCACCCGAGACAGAGATTCAACCAAGAGATTTATTGGGGGGGATGCCAGGAAAGGAGAGGCAGAGGGCAGAGAGAGGAGAGGAAGGAAGAGAAAGAGAGTAGAGAAAGAAGAGGAAGAGGGCAGAGACAGAGAGCTTGCAAGCTTGGGCTTAAGAAGGGTTGCCTAGGTGACGTGGCGGGTGCTGATTGGCAGGGTGACTCAGGAACAGCGATCAGACACCGTGTCCTGCGGGGATTGGTTGAGAAAACCTTTGAATTTGGCGCTCTTGGGCTTGGCGCCCTTTGGAGAGGAGGGGGAGGGGTAAGGGATTCCATGATGAAGGGGGAGTCTCCCACACACCCAACAAGGAGCAACTCCATGTTCTAACTGGACAGCTCCTGCTCCCACTCGGTTCCCCCAAAGCTGGCAGCCTGGTGATGCCCTGCAGACAGGGAATCGTAATTGAGTGATATGACTGCCCAAGAGGAAAACAAAAGGTAGCAAAAACTGAGGGACCTCTAAAAGACAACCTGGCCAGATCACCTTATAGGGACGCTGTCCCTTCACACATGTTGAATTTTCAATGAGCTTTTTGGTTCTCCGCTTTTAAAAATAATTGAAAAGACAACTTATATCTTAGACAAGATAATGTATAAATATAAACCGTAAAATAATGGCATCAAAGCATAACTCTGACAAGAGGATAATGAATTGGTTCGGGACCTGAGAAGGAAGGAACTACTCAGCAGCCATGTGTTTTACATGCCCCCCAAGAGAAGATGACCCTGACCCCCAACCTGGCAACAGAGGAAGCCCAGATAGGCTCATTTCTCCTGCAAGTTGAACAGGAATATTTCCAACAACTCCAGGCCAGTACCACCAACAAGGGGGATTAATCAAAAGCTCCACTAACAATAAGTAACCATGAGAAGTGCTCTCCTTTCACACGGGACCAGAGACTTATTTCCCCCACTGGGAGACACTGGGCAGACTTTCCTAAGGAAGCTCCTTTGGCT